TCCCCTCCCCCCCGGGGCTCCCTGTCCTCCAGCCCCTCGTCCTGCTGGGAGGGGGCGGCAGTGAGTACAACCCCCCGCTCCCCAAGGTCCAGCCAAGGGCAGCGCGGAGCACCCGATGGGGCCCGGGGCGACGGGCAGAGCTGCAGCGCCCGCTGGAGGGGGTACGCGGCGGAGATCGGGGGGTCCCGGGTGGGCACGGGGGTGCCAGCTGCCCCGCTCGGCAGTTACCTGTGTTGTTGTTGGAGTCGGTGGCTGCCATCCTTCAGCGGCCCGCTCGCATTCAAGCGCAGCTGGCGGAGGGGGGCAGCGGAGGCTGCGGCGAGCTCCGGCTCGGAGCACCTGGCCGGGGGCAGGTGGAGCCCGGCGCTGCTGTGCAACCCTTGCACTGGCAGGGAGGATGCCCGCGATCCTCGCTTGGCACCTAATCAGAGCCCGGCGGGGGGCGGCGGCTGCTGGCAGGGGCTGAGCCGGTGCATGCAGCAGACGGGAGCCCTGTGCGACGCTGCCTCTCTCCGCCCTGCAATCCTGGACTGTGTCAGGGCTCTCCAGCGGCAGCCTCTTTGCTTGGGTCTCGCTGCAGCTGCGCAGTCTCCAGCACGCGGCTCGGGAGCATCCACCATGTGATTCCCAGGGAGAGCCTCGTGCCCCAGTGACACACTTTCTGCAAGCACCCGGCTCACGGACAGGCGAGCCAAGGCGCTTGCCCAGCCCGCTGCCTGGCGGGACTTGTAGTTCCCTGGGCTCTGCCCTCAATCCCTTGTCTGTGTGGCTGGAGCATGTGAATTCCTGCTGAGTGACTTTGCTTCTGCTGCTGCTTCCCGTGAGGGATCAAAAGAGACCGAGGCTTAAAACAAAAAAACAAAAAAAAAACCCAACCCAACCCCCCCCCCCACCCAAGCCCTGGAAAACGTGATGGCTTAACGTGATGTTAGAGCCCTGTGTTTGCAAAGCTCCACCAGGCTGCAAAGCGGTGTTTGCAAAGGGCAAGGTGCTTTCAAGAACGAGGTGTGTTCGTGCAGGAGGGAGAACAGTCACATGCTGGGTTGGAAAGCCCCTCTCCCCGCCCCCCTTTTGTAGCTGCATCTCCCCTGTTGAAATATAGGGCAGCTCTCTATTGCAATCCGAAGCCCCCTCGGCTGTAGGAAATTCAGAAGCAGGGGGAGGGGGTGGGGGGAAACCAGAGACTCTGAAACTGGAGCAGTCGGGTGTCACAAAAGGAAACCGCAAAGGAAAGGTGGTAGGTCGGGTGGCAGTTGCCCCCTTTTGCCATCGCAGGGCTTGCTCATGAGGCCACTGGAACAGCAGCTGCTTTTTGCCTTGTGCAGTGCAACATTTGCCAAACAAGGGTGCCCCAGTTTCGTAATCTGTCCGCTGCAGGAGCAAGGGGGTGAGCTGCGCAGCTGTTACTCTGAGTGCCAGGTAGCAGTGCCAAGCCAGAGCTGCTGCAATGCATATTATTCAGGTCAAACCGTAGTAGCAGCTCTGCTGCTGCTTCTCTCCCACACCTTGGGGGAGTAGGGGGGTGGAGTTTGCAGGAGAATGAGATTGGGAAACAAGGTGCTGGTGCAGTGGTGATAGAAGGTGCCCATTTTGGACCTTGGCAATCATGAGCAAACCAGCTCTTTTGATAGATTCCTTTGGGTCACTAGCAGAGAGGTAGCTTCTGCTCTATCCCCTTGTCTAAGGGGGGATGTCCCTGGCAGATCTAGCGGGTATACATGAGCACATGCCACCTACCCACGCCTGCACCAAATGAAGACAGGTAGTGAGGAGGTCAATCCAGGGATGCCTGCAGCAGCCCCTCTCCAGCCCTCTGGAGGCCAAGGTCCTAAGAGCAGATCCAGGAGAGGGATGCATTTGCTAGCTAGGTGTGTGCAAGCGTAAGCGGGCAGGAGTGGTGTGCACAGGAGCCCCTGCCAAGCCGCACCATGGTTCTGACATGCTCTGAGTGCACTGCCCTGCATGCTTCAGTCTGTCCCAGGCTGGAGTTCCACAGTTCTTAGAGTACTCCCTATACTACCATAACCTGGGCATGATGAAGGTCAATTCATCCCACCCAGAAGCAATTTGGAAAGGGTTAATGAAAAGCCTCATTATCCCCCCCAGCTGGAGTCAAGCTGCCAGCTGCTATAAGACTTGCAGTCCAGGCAGAATAGTGATGGGGAGGGTGGTTAATACTGGTAATTTGCATAGGGCTGTAGTGGAAGGAGTAGTAGGGAGATAGATTGCTAAGTAGGGCAGGTAAGGTGCAGCTTAGGGAGCTGGGGAAGGACTTGGCAGAAACAAGCCTTTGCTGCTGAATCTTAGATCCCTGGGTAGGAGCATAGAGGATAGGATGAGTCTGGGTTCCTGCACCTTCTCTTCCCAACAGTGATGGTCCTAGAGGTAAAGGTCCTAGGGACCTGTGAGCCCCAAACTGGGCATGTCATCTTTGGGACTTTGGACTATGTGTCTAAGTTTCCTTTCTGATGAGAGGGGTGAGACCTTGAGTTACATACCTAGCAAGGGTTCATGGGTAACATGGGCTACAGGGGTGGTGTCTTGGGAGCTGTGAAAGCCTTTGGCACTGAGTTTCTGCTGTTCTTGCTCTGAAGGTCAGACTGTGGTACTTTCTCAGGGGGTTGTTGACCAGCTAGAGCCAGTGGGAAGGCAGACTTTGTCAAAGCAAAAGCTCTTCTCCTAGGCAGTGGAAGCCAATTGCTTAGAGAGAAGAGTTTAACGCTGTCTACTCTACATGCTTGTTGGGCTTCCCAAGAGTATTCTGTCCTCTACTGTAAATTATAGGGATGTAACTTGAGGATGGGCCCTGTCCCTCAAATGTGTGTAGTTCTTGAGTTGTTTCTTCCTTTGGGAGCTCTATTAGGTTACTGAGCTGTGGTCCTGTAGGTGCTGGAAGCAGCAACCTCAAAACCAACATGTTGAATACTGTCCTTTTAGCCAGGACTTCACAGATGCTTAGTGTGACATCCTTTGTCCTCCATGCCTGTTTTCCTGGACAGGTGCGTTGATCTAATATGCTCTTGGGAAGTGGAGGCAAGCCTTTTGGGCAGGTGTAGCCCAAGTTAAACCCCACACCCTCCCTGTCTACTGCCCTTCCTGGATACTACTCCTTGTACCCCTGCATTCCAGACAGAAGCTTCCCTTGCCACCTGTGGTACACAGTGTTACTTGTTGGCCACCCTGATCTACAGTTTCAAGTCTGCTTTAGCTGCAAAGCAACCCTAGTGTCCTACCCCAATGACCAGGCCACCATGCAGTATTCCAGCCACTACTGACTTGCTCCAAATGCAGTGTCCCTTAAGACTGAGTGAGGGAGTTCTGATGGACTCCTTTCACCCACAGCTTTACTAGCAAATGTCTTCCTCAAGAATGGAGGAAGGCTTATTGTGCCAGTTAAGGAATTGTAATACTAGAAAAAATACCTTGTTTCACTCTTCAGCATTCCTGTGGCCCCAGTATGGGCTGAGTACCTCATGCTTTTAATGCATTTATCTTTGCAAGCCCCTGTGACAAGGCTGTGCTATTATTCCCATCTTACAGATAGGAAAACTGAGGCACAAGTGGATAACTTGCCTAGGAAGTGTGGTAGGGAACAGGGTATCTGAGCTTCTTAAATTCTAAGGTTGTGGTGTAACTGGTACTGTACTGCTGCCTCTTGTGGATTCAACCATTAAAAGTGCTCTAGTGACCATAATGATACGTGCAAGAGCAGAACTAAACTTTCCTGCAAGCTGAGGCTCCTTCTAGAGTTGCTGAACTTTCTAGGACACATCCCAGATGCGGCCAGCCATGCCCTACACATGCCGGATCAGCTGACCTAGCTCTGTAAAGAAGGCTGATCTGCAAGGGTAGCTCTTGCAAGTTAATACTTGGGAACTGGATGGCAGCCATTAGCACAGGAAAGGTTTCAATCACATATCTCAACTGAAGATCACCTGTACTGGCTCTCTGGGAATGCTGGCAGGGAGGGGCCGCGTTTCCCAAATCAGCACGTGAGATGCATTTTTGGGGAGTAGCAAACTCGTGTCTCATTGGATCTAGCTTGTCACGTCTTCCAGGAGCTCGGCTGTGGAGTCAGGAGTTTTCACCTGCAGCCTAGTTCCTGCCAAGATGTAGATGGTGTTTCACAGCAATGCATCATAGAGGTGAGAGGGTTCAGAGGAGCAGGCAAGGGTTGCATCAGCTCCCGAGCTGGGACTCTTGAAGGGCAGTTGGCTTTACCATGTTTGCTCCCATCCTGGAATTCATATAATGCTACACTTGGCTACAAAACCCAAAATAAGAGCTGGCACAGTTAGGCAATGGTAACACCTCATCCATCCCCCCCCACCTCCCCTTATGTACCATCGTTCTGTAACTTTCACAATATAAGGAATACCAGTACTCAGTGGAGTATTTTGAACTGTTCGGTTAGGAAACTGTACATTTTTAAATTTGATATTGTGCCCTCCCCTCCACCCCCTTTTTATTTTAATTGGAAACTCTAGCAGCTTGAAGAACAGTTCAGAGCTGGCAACCATGCTTGCATCAAAATCTTCCCCACCCTCCTCCTGCCTGCACTATGTTTTCTTGGCATGTTGCCTACCTGCTGGTGAGTGTGTTTTTTTTTTTCCCAAGCACTCCTAAGGCACTGAACAGACTTCCCTGGGAGTTTAGAGACAAGGTCATGAGTAGACAAGGTCATGAGTGATTGGCAACCTAACTTGCTCCAAATGCCAGCCTCTGTTGTGCCCTTCAGAATAGATAGCAGGGGGCTATGGAATGCCTCTACCTCCACTCCCCATCCTGGGCTTGCTTTTGTCTAGCACCAGCTCCCTCCCCCTTGCTGATGGGGAAGCCCCATCTATGCCCCTTTTTTGACCAGGCCACATAGTGCCATACTGCAATTGGTGTGACATGGAGAGGCAGGAATTCTAAATATCTAATCCTTAATGAAAGCCAGTCTATCCCTGAGCAACTAAAGACATAAATGGCACTGTTTGTGTAGGTCCTTTGTAAGCCACGCAGCACACCCTTAGCTAGTGCTGGGAGGGGGAACGTGGGGATAGCATTCCTTTGGGTCTTCCCGAGTTGCCTGCTAGCTGCTGCTTTACCTGTTGCAGTCCACCAGGCACAAGACAATAGGTCTGGCAGAGCCCAGCTTACTTGACCTCCTCCAACCAGTCCTGTATCCAGCCAACTTAGGACATGCCTGTGCTTTGAAATTCAGGATGCACAAATGTGAGATTCCTAATGGCTCTCAATTAGCTCCCTTTCTCCTCTACACACACATTCCAGAGCCACTATAATTAGTCATGACTAAGCTAGTCATTTTCAATTCAGAAAACAAAACCGCACGCACAACTGCAGCAATTCATTCTAACTGGGGATCCCTGCTTGGAATCTGACCTGGTGAAATGCAACAGTGTCTGCATTCTAGGGCCTGATTGGGTACCTCTGAGTCACTCAAATCTGCCTTTTTTTTCCAACCCCCCAGGGGGTTTACTGCTATAAGATTTACTCATGTGAGTAAGGGTTAGCATAACCTGAAGCTGTGGTTAGACTAATGCTGCAAACCGTGTTGAACAGACTCGGAGAGAAGTAAGGCTGGAAGGGACCTCCAAAAGTCATCTAGTGAAGCCCAGCCCCCCGCCTGAGGCAAGATCATCCCTATCCAAACCATCCTGTACAAATCATAACCTAACCTTTTAGTAAAACTACCATCAACTCTGACACAACACAAGACACAACACCCTAACCTGCCACAGGAGAAGCAGAGGGACCATCCATCATCCTGCTTCTGTAAAAGGTGTTTATGCTGAAGAGATTCCCAGGTAGAGGGCCATGCCCCCAGCTACAGAGGAGGACAACCCCTCAGTTGGCACCAATCTGACCATGGGGTAAAATTCCTTCCTGACCCCAAATATGGCAATTGGTCTGACCCTGAGTGAAGGGGCAAGACCAGAATTTCTGGCTTTAAATCCCAGCAGGAGCATTGGCACTCCCCAGTCAAAATCCCCAGTCTTGGCTGCAGCCAACACCCAATGAGCCTGAGGGAAGCTTAAAAAAACCCTGACACGTAGCAGAAAGGGGAGGGGGAGGGGGACTGTCAATTCTCCCCCAGTTTCTTGTGGCAACCACAGTACAACATACACCTAGATCACCCCTGACCAAACTCTTCTTGAACACGTCCAGTGATGGAGAGTCTACAACTTCCCCAGCAGCTATTCCACTGCCTCACTTCTAACAGTGAAGAAGTTTTTCCTGATATCCATAAGTCAGTTCATAGTTTGGCATCTCAGTTTCTCTCATCAATGTGTTCAGCTCCTGCTGACTTCAGGAGGTTTCCCAGGGCTCCACACCTGTATGATGGACTTGAGAAATGGCCTTCAGCCAACAGTGGGTTAATACAGCAAAACTGGACCATCATGGCTACAAAATTACTTCAACACTGCCTTAATAAGGCAAAATAAGAGAAACATGAATGAGTCAAATTCATCCCAGCAGTCACCCCAGGGATGAACTGGGTCTGGGATAGGAGTTCTTTAAGAGTTTATCAAGAAGGTCTTCCCCTGAAACATCTGGTTCTGACCAGGTAGGATGCTGGGCTAGTTGACCTCTGGTCTGATTCATTCTAGTAATGACCCTGTTCCATGTTTCTCCTGGTGTAAAGGAACAGAGTCATGCCAGTTCACCAATTCACCCCAACTAAGTATGTGCCCTGTTGTATTCTCAAGATCCTGCTGCAGGAAGGTGTATGTTAGATTGTGTATTCTAAACCTACTGCTTCTCTCTCTCTCAGGTTGGTCAATTCATTATTTTTTTATGTAGAACCTCAACAAAAGCCAGGTTTTGTCTTCTGGAGTCTGAGACTGCTGCTGCAGAACCAATTTAGCAAACTTAATCTAGGTACATGTTGAATCATAGGACATGGTTATGATTCCCAGGGCACAGGCAATTCATCAGAGCTCTTATTTGAAAAATAATTCCAGTGAGCAGCAATTTTTACTGCTTTTGTGTTATTATCTAAAAACATTTGACAGGTGCTTTCTACTCTGGAATGGAGATAGGGAAAGAGATGTGTTGGACCAAAAGCAGTTGCTCCCTTTAATTATTTGGATGGAAGCCACCATAAGGATTCAGACTATCACAAAGCACTTGGGGATTTTGGAGCAGGGACTGTACTATAATTCTACGCCATAGTTATACAGCATCTAGTAATGTGGAGTCCTAGTCCATCATTGTGGCTCCTGTACTGCATGTAATAAAAAGGCAGTAGCATGATGCTCTGGAGTGCTCCAGAGCGGAGGAATAGATATAGAGGATCTCTTCTCTAGTCCTGCTTTTACCTTCTAGAGAAACAGCTATTTCCTGCCCTGGTCTGAGTTGAGTCTCAGGATTCCCAAGAAAAGCTCTGGAAATGACCCAGATCAACCCACAGAGCTGTCCACTTCCCTTTGCTGAGTCTCAGCAACGCTACTGGTCAGCTGCAAAGCCCACAGAAGTCACTGGGATTCTTGCTACTGATTCCAGAAAGTACTCACCATCAAAACTGACTTAGGCAAGTGTCTTTTTTCTTCAGTGTCCTAACACAGTGAGGTAGTTACTGGCATCCCAAGCCAACCCCATACTGCTCCTGGACTTAAATGTGTGCAAGGAGTACACCACTTGCTCACCCTCTGAGTCTTCTACACGTGCCCAGACTCATCCCTGAGATGGAGTTTGTGAAGCTGGTTCTGCAGAAGTTGCCTCAGACTCTAGGAAGCTAAACATGGCTTTTGCTGCCTCCATCCACCCCAAAGCTGTTGCCTGTTTCCTGTGCCTTGCACCAACGTGATCAGATCTGCATATCAGTGCTGTTTCCCTTCTTATGTGGGAACAACAGAAGCCTGCTGGGCCCTGATCCTTAATCAGGGTCTCCAGGCAGCACAGCAAGCAAATAAAATATGTACTATAGAACTGTGTGTGGCCTGTCTCTTATGGATTTGAAGTATTTTTTTGTCTAGTACACAATTACCCACCACATAGCAGGAAGTAGGTTTCTGCTCAGGGCATGCACAAACCTCTAGCTCTTAGTGAAAATGAAACTATGAAATATCAGAAAAACTTTCACAAAGTTTAGAGGCCAAGGAGTCCAGTTTTACCTGGAACTGATCCCTCTGTTTCATTTCACCCTCTGAGTCTTCCAGAAAAAGCACTTGGATGCACTAAAAACCTCTCCCCATCTGTTGTTCCCACAGCCACAATATTCAGCCTGGCTGAGCAACTGAAAATCACACAGATCCAAACATGCAGCTTAAAAATAAACCTGAAAGTCCTTCTGCATTTACTGACTGAAGGGGAGGCTCTGGTCACTGCTGCTCATCAAAGAGTGTGGCAGTAAGTCTCTATGCCCTCTTTGTCCCAGTTCATCTACATGTGCCATGCTGCGGTGCCATGTGACTTGGCACTCGCATTCCCAGCTAATGCCTGTGTGTGAGCAAGTATTTATTTTTGCTTCCAGGCAAGCCAGATTCTTTACCTTATTATACCTTTTCCAGGAAAGAGCTGCATTTTCATTAAGGCTCTGCTGTTACCCAAGCCTGTATCATGTCTGGAGGTTCAGTCAGTTGATGTTGCAGGACAAACAGCATTTGCCCTATTCCAGTTTTGCCCTTAGTCCTGCAGAAACTTCATGTATGTAAGTAACCCCCTGATACTAACTAGGCTGCTTGCAAGGAACTCTTGCATACAAGAACAGAGGTTACAAGCTTGTTCCAAAAAACAGCATATAGTTTACACGATTAATTAGGGGGCCTGACTCCCCCAAGGTCTTCCCGTTGCAGTCACCCCACTAGATCCAAGGGACTGACTCCTGAGAGTAATTCTTGATCATGGGAGCAAGGGTTTAGAATACCAGCCTGGGAGGCAGGACAGATGGGCTCTACTCCTGGTCTGTCACTTGCCTGAGGCAAGTAATCTCACTGCCCTTCCTCCATTTCCCCATCTGTATGGTGGGACTGGTGCAGCCCTGCTTTGTAAAGCACCTCAAGATGTGCAGAGGAAAGACTGAGGTTCTTAATGTGATTTTTAAATTATATTAAGGTTTCATTCTTATTTGTAGCACAGGTCTGCAGGGTCAGCCTGTGAGAACATTGCACTTTATAAATGAAATCCACGATATAAATAGTCGCCCACCCCGCCCCCTACTTTTATATGGTATGAAAAAAAAAACAGTGTTTTTTTCCCCCCCCTCAAAGCCTGAAGCTGCCTGGTAAGGGGAACTTTAACCACAAAACTTCCCCAGTGCTGAAGTGGCCCTAAGAAACAGCAATACCGAGGACTTGCTGTTGAATGTGTTAAACCACATGTGTTAAACCAGTTGGTATGTAGCATTATCCCCCGGTGAAACTGAGACCCAGAAAAGGGATGTGTCAAAACCATATACCAATGGTTCTCAATCTTGTTAGGTTCATGGTACCCCTCAGAAAATGCCAGCATTTCGTATTTTGTTTTTTGACTACAGAAAAATGATAGGTTCTTCTGTAGCAAAGAGTGCAGAAAGGCCACAACAGGTCAGAGTGTTTTAAACACAATTAATTCCTATTTGAAATCTCTGGAAATATGATCTTGTGATCTCATGAAGACATGAGATCTCATGTTGATCATAAAACTTGATCTCCTGAAAACATGTTCTTGTGAATCATGTTTGCATGCCTAACAGTCTTAACACTGTGTGGTACCTTGTGGCACCCTTGAAAGGATCTCAAGGCACCCTAAGATGGCGTGGCCCCTGGTTGAGAATCAGTGCCATACACCTTCATTGCCATAAATATGGGAACAGAACCCAGGAGTCCTGGTTTCCAGCTCTGAGCACAAATCCAGGTTGGTCTGCTGTCCGCAACTGAGCCAGGATGATTAGATCAGGATGGGAAGATGGCCACAAGCCTCTGTTACACCATCATTCCAAGGCAGGGGTGGGCAAAATGCAGCCCGCAGGCCACATCTGTCCCGCCAGGCCATTCTATCTGGCCCATGGGGCCCCTAAAAAATTAAGAAAATTAATATTTATCTACCTCCGTCTGCCTGTCACGCAGCCCTTGATAGCTTGCCAAAATTCAGTAAGCAGCCCTCTCTCTGAAATAATTGCCCACTCCTGTTCCAAGGGAATGCCCAGCAAGGGAAAGTCCTGTGGTTTTGCCATCAGTGAATTGCTTTCTACCTTAACTGTCCCCTGATGTTTGAGCTACCCTCTCCTTGAGCTCCTGTGGTGCCCTGCTTTGAATGGCCAGGTTGGAAGAGGCAGAATATAGCCCCTTCTAAATCATAGCATTCTTCTTTATGGAGGAAATAGCATTTCACTTCAAGCCACCTGAGATCCCAGCTGTGGGTTTCCTTCTGTCCAGCTGCTCCCTGTGCATTGGTAATTTCCAAAGTCACTGGGATCTCCTAAGGAACAAGAATCAGACAGCGGCATTTGCTAGGCACAAAGACAGATGTCCAGCCATGACCTCTGCTACCTGCTGAGAGTTTTCATCTGAAAGGGGAGTGCCACTAATACTGCAGGGGAAATGAAGCATTCATGACACCAGGTATGCTGCTCCCATCCCACTGACTATTTGCCTCTTTCCCTTTGTCAGGAGAACATGGCAGGGCAGAGCCAGTGAACTGATCCCTCCTGCACAGCCTGCAGGAAGGGGAAACCCAAGCCTGCCAGCTCTAGAGCAAGGCTGTCACAGCAAGGAGAGGCTGGCTCTGGACTCTTTCTGCTATGCAGCATCCAGAGTCATGGCAAATAGGGCTGGATTGCTGGAGCCGCCCTTCCCCTATCAGGTAAACACAATGTTGGCAAAGGGATGCACAAGTGTCTGACTTGCCAGCTTTTCATTGCAGCAGTGGTTCTCATTAAGACTCAGGGCACCTCTTGGAAAACACCAGCTCTTAGCTTTCACTCTGTTTTCTTCAACCAGGGAAAATACTAGAGCAGTTCTTGCATTGCAGGGAACTTGGAGCACAGAGGCCAGAATGTTTGAGAGGCAGAGCTTTCCGACAGGAGTCCACGGTTCATCTTGTGAACCCTGTGCTGGTGTTTGCACACCTCACTGCGGTAATACTGCATGGCACCCCAGGGTGAGGTGGCGTCCTAGTTGAGAATCACTAAAGTGCAGCATGCAGAGGGGGCAACGCTAGAACAACGTTGCTGCAAAAAACTCAGAAAGCCCCTGGCAGGCAGGAATGTGGGTTCCTATGTGACACCTCTGGGTTTGTCTCCTGAATGCTGCAGGGCGTGCATGCCCCAGTTGAGAATCACCGACATGCCTCAGTGACTAACAGAGGACTGGTTTACCTTGGGCTTGAGCATCTGGGGCTTTGACTTGCATCAAAATGGATGTCAGGGGCAGAAGGGCAGGTGTTTGCAGGTGGGGGGAGGGCAGGTGTTTAGGGGTGGAGAAGACAGGTGTCTACAGGTGGGGGAAGGGCAGGTATTTATGGATGGGGGGGAGAAGGCAGCTGTTCACACTGCCAGCTTGAACAGTCATTAAGTCCCGGATTTCTGGGGGAGGGGGGGGCCGTTGCATGGGTGCCTGGCCGGTGCCGGGCAGTCCCTCCAGCCCGCCCGCGCCCGGTCCTGAGGTGGCCGCGAGGGTCCCCGCTCCAGCCCCGGCGCGGCAG